GTCCTAACTACATGATTGTGAAAATGGTATGCATAGTTAACTCTGACCTTGATGGATGAGGTTTTGGAAAGCAAGATACCTTACTAGTTCAAGTGCATTTATCAGATAAGTTGTCCTAAAGCAGCATGGCATACTTTGTTTAGTTCAACTACTTTTAAGGCCCCAGTAAACTTTGCAATACGTAGAATGCTAATTAAAGGTCCCTGCCATACGGCAGGAAAAAAATACCGTAGGCCAAAGTGCGGCTTTTAAAAGCCGCACCAAAATAGAGACGTAGACGCGCCGGCGATCCCACGGCCGGCATTGATGCGGCCTTTTGGAAAGAGCCACCTCGGTAGGTGGTTCTTTTTTGCTGTGGGGTTTTGGGCGGAAGGGGCAGATCGGGAACGGGCGCGCAACACTTCCCAGATGTTGCGGTGGGATCGCGCCCGTTTGCTGCGGCCCCGATCCGTCCATCTCCCGGCCCAAAACCTCTCGTGTGACCGGGGCCAAAATGCCTCAAGTGTCTTTGGCGTACTTATTTCTGTGTGCGACTGTTACGTTAGGTTTAGGAAAAGATGTTAGGCAGCGGTGTGGTGTGAAAAATTTTCCAGTACTATATTTTCCCACAGAAAATTTTCTACCTCACATATGTAAATATAGTCTGTTGTTGTTGGAGCTGTTGTGCTGTGTATCAGTTGTGTTAGATGGTAGGGTATGAACCATGGACAAAACCTGTGTTTCTGCCTTCTTTCACTAATTATACATTTAAATTACTTATCTGAATTGGAAAAATTTCCAGAAATTTATTTCCTGGAAAACTCAGTCATTGATGTTGGGGAGATCTGCTTTTAACAGGTGGTCACAGTTTGATTATTAAACCATGACACACACGTTCTTTTCTAAATCATAGATTGAAATTACCTGGTATGAAGTTAGTTGAAGTGTTCTGGGTGGTTGTTGAAAGAAACTAGGGCAGGGAAAGCTATCTTCATTCTTTTCTCCAGTGTGTGAAAGTTTCATATTTCTCACCTCTAGGCTCTTGGACAACTAGGGGCCTAGGATTTTTCCTGTCCTGCCCTTCATACTGTCTTTCTCTTTCCTATAGCTTTGTTCTTGATGTTGTGAAGTTCATTTCGCATATCTGTAGCTGTATCTTAGTTTGAAGGAACGCAGATTTTTAGTTTGGTTTTCACCTGAGGTGACTATGCCTGCTGTAGTGTTGAAGGACTTCTAAGACTGTAGGGCTGACACTTGGAGTGAAGTGAACCATTGCAGTTTCTCTTGTTTTGTGAAATGTCTCCTTGGTGGTTGTGTTTCGGGGGGGGGGGTAGCAGTGGCAGGAAGCAGGATCTTCAGTCATGCTGTTCTGTTTTGAGCAGCTCTCAAAATGTTAAGTTTGCATATATCAAGCTATGAATGTATGCCATGCCTTGATCAACATCAACTTTGAATAAATCCTGTGGAATTAACTTGCACTTAGTTCAGATGTTCCTGTTTAAGATTGCAGCCTTAAATAATGCAGTAATTTTATGCATTATCTTAGTATCCCATTCCCATTCTGCATTGGCCTGATTGTTCTCTGAAAAGCAGTTCTGTGTTCTTATCCTCTCTGGGCAAGTTAGAGGAGTAGGTAACAAATTGCTATCATAAACCAATAAAATGATATAACTTTTAGCAAGCTTGTGCGAGCTTCTGCATGTGCTTTCTGGCAGGAATAACTGGCAGTGCTTTCGTCCATTCTTCCCCCAATAGCTGTTTTAATATGGAATTGGTCACCATTCTATCCATTGCACTTTAATGTGTAGCAATGTTAGGACTCTGCCTAGTGTGTTGTGTAGTCAAAGATCTCTGTGTCAGATGATTAATGTCTGGTATGTAGTCTGCCAGACAAGTACAGTACTTCTATTAATGCAGTAGTTTAATTGTCATCTAGGCCTCCTGCCAAAACTGATGCATTGCTCTGTTCAGTATCTGGTTTGTGTTCTGAAGCCACTCACTGTGACTGGAATGGAAGTGGCATAGAAGAACAAAAGTTTGAGCCTCTAGAGTGGAATGATATGACATCAGTGGGCAGTTACTTCTTTTCAGCAACACTTTTTCTAAGGCTGATTTCATTGTGTAATCTGCGGAGGAAGTTCTTTCCTTTTAAAAAAATATTTCCTCCTTTTTAAAAATGTTTTGCAGACAATACACTGCTTACTTGGTCAACATATTGGGAATAATATGACAGAGCCCAGAGGCAAGGTGACTGAGAGGCAGGGGTAGAACAGGCAACAGGCTGAGAGAACCCAAGGGAAGAACTGGAGGAGACAATGGCCTGAGGAAAAGGTCGGAGTAGACAGGAAGTTGAGGGAAGGAGGGGCCAGGATAAAATGGGAGCTCTGCAGACACCATGTACAGGATTCCAAAGGACAGGATGGAGATGCTATGTCATTTCGGCAGGAAGGAATTAGAAAGCAAAAGAAATGTTACTTTTATGTCCCATTAGCAACAGATATTTAGTTAAGAAAAAGTGTGGTTCAAAGGTTTTATATTCCGACAAATTCAAAGTTTTATGTGGAAATTTTTTTTATTGGAATACTGCTTATAAAAGAAGGTGATATAGCATGTGCTGCCTTTACATTGTATAAACTTAAAAAGCTGAAAGCATTGAAAACTTAAACAGTAATTTTAGCTCATGCAAAGAGCTGGGAATTACATGCGGTGGACATGGTTTCCACTCCTCTATTTCATCTGAATGTAACTCTTGTCCGTGGAGGTTACTGTGGCACCTCATCAAGTGAATTCATAATTGATTTGTAATTTGGATTATTATGTGTATTTAGTTTTGGCCCCTACCCCTCAGTTAAAAATCAGTAAAACATACGTATACACTCATACATAATTTCTATGGATGATCAACTGGAAAACACTAATTACAATTTTGAAACTGCCAAGCTTGTCACATACTGTATTGAAGATGACATCCATCCATTGTTCATTTTATGACACAATAAACCTTTAGAAATGGAAAAAAAACCACAAAAAAACACCTGGAAAATATTTCATTCTATGTTTCTGGGTGTCATAAGCAAGGATGAATGTGGCGGATTAGTCTGGTATGTTAGGTCCTATAGTGGAAATTCTTTTCACAATAGAGATGTCACAGTAGCCATAATCCAAAAGTGCTGCATGTGTGTTTGTTCTCATGTTAGTTTTCCTGTGCAACTGGAGTAGCTTGAAACCACAGTTGTCTGAGAGGAGCTTCCCCGTGGTAAAATCCTGTGCTACCAGGGAACAGATTTAGAGGCAGTGATGCTATACCTCCTCCAACAGGGTATGTTCGATGAAAGGTTGCGGGGGGGGGGGGGGGAAACAATTTATCTCCAGACTAGTTTGACCCATGATTTGATAAGAGGTGCTTAGACAAGAATAGCTCTAGATTACGGGTCCCCAGCATGGTGCCGCAGGGTTCTTTCCAGCAAGGCTTATGACTGGCCACTGGAGATCTGATTGGCTATACTACCTATGTTTTGGTTTTATTCCATCTCTCCCAGTGTTTTTAAATTGCAACTCCTTTGCACTTTGGCTTCCTCTGTGTGTGTGTAGCTTCACCTTCTATGGTGGTCATTCTGTGGTTGCACCCACTACCCTGTGTCAGAATTCCAAAGGTACCCAGATGCTGAAAATGTTTGGGGACCTCTGCTCTAGATGATCTGGCTTTTGCCTTGCAAGAATCTCCTGATAACAGGGGTTAGTTGTAATTTGAGTTTCAAAATTTGTTCTAATTCTCTATTTCATTTGTACAAATTGCTGCACATTTGTATCACATGCAGTTTATGTATTGAGTCATACTCATGGTCAAAGCATGATGTCTTTAATTTCACTTGGACAAGTTCTTGATTAATGTGAAAGCATCTTGGTAACTATGATATCTAGCAACACATTTATGAATGCCATGAGAATGGAACACTTTTCTGGGTGTCTCATGAGGTATCATGTGGCTTGTCTTTGGAAGTACTCATGCTAGCTGTGGCTTCAAATGTTTTACTTTTTTATACAGCAGAGGGGTATTGCGGGGGAAGGCCTGTATCTCCACCTCAGTCGGAGGATACGGGTGGGGGGTGTCCTTACCTATATAGGTTAGGGATCATAACCGGATCACCTCACAAGATGAGAGCTTTGTGGTAGTCAGTACTTAAGTGCTGATACAACAGTTGGCTTTTGCTATATATTTGGCTTTCTTAATTTAATGTAGATATGGGAGTTTGTTGTAATATTGGCTGTGTTTCATTTTTTATTATTTATCTATACCCTGCTGTTCTCCCCAGTGGAGATCCAAAGCAGGGTATAACACATTTTTTCCTTCTTCCATTTAATCCTCCTCATAAAACCCAGTATTCATGATAGCTTCTCAGTCATGTGATGTAGAACTGTGTGGCTGGAAGGAGGGTTGGGAGCTCAGGTGTCCTGTCTTGACTCCTCAGAAGGATGCTGGAGTTCTACGCACCATGATGGGGGCAGGAGTTTGCTACATGTAGATGTTCATTTTTCTATTACAAATGGGAACCAGAGTGTTCGCTAAGCACCTACCTTCTAGGTTTTTGACAAAGTGCCACTCATTGCTTGAGTGCTACTGTGTGGTTACAGTTATATAACTTGAAGGAGTGAGCTATCACTTCAGGGTCCATCCTGCTGCTCAAGCATGACTTTCAAGCAACTAATCTCCCATTGATCAATGTATGCATTCAACTGTGTAGATTTGCTCCTCTCTAACTTTGCTGCTCCCCAGAGTCACCTGATTGCTCTTTGATGTATATAAGGGGAAACTATTTTTTGCTTCTATTACTCTTGCAGGGGGGGGGGGAACAGTAATTGGCCTTACCCTTTCAGTCAGAGCTTGCAAACCCCCTGCATACCCTTTTGGGACAGTAAGCCTTGTGGAACTGAGACTTGTCTGAATCAACAGGCTTGATTGTACTACATGGAGAGCTGTGACAGTGCAAGTGAAATAACCAGATACTTCTGTCTTCTCAGAGATGACTACCATTAACACAGGAAACGTTAACTTCAAGTGGGATCCCAAAAGCCTCGAGATAAGAACGCTGGCAGTGGAGAGATTGTTAGAACCTCTTGTTACACAGGTAAAAAAACCCCTACCTTTTTATTTAAAGTTTTGGCTCCACAGTGTCTCATTGGGAGACTAATGGTTTTACTTGCATTTGTATCATTGGTCAGTAGTAGGATCTGCATTGTGCTTATCAAAGGTGTAATATAAGCTGTTAGGTAGTACAAAGGGTTCTTTAATTGTAGATCAGCAGGTTGAAAAGGCGTATCAAGCAATTAGTATGCACTTCTGCTCATGGAATACGTGAAGTATAAATGGAAGACTTTTCATGAGAAATTACTGGGATGCTGGATCAGGAAAGAGCTAGGGAAGGAATACAAGAAATTACTTCTGAGCATTTTTTAAAAAAGAAGCATGAAAGTAGGGAAGAATACTATGTTAGAAAGCGAGTGCAGGAACAGAGCAAAGAGGCAGGGTTGTGTAAGTAGATTACAACAAGTAGAACAAAGGGCATAAGAACTGGATAGCAAAAGGGAGAACTGAAATGAAGGTACAAGAGTGAGAAATGAAAATAAGATTTGCATAGTATACAATTAGTTGTACAGTACAGCCAAGTCCCCTATCTCCTGCTCCAGGAAGATAAGGCTGCTCATTGGCACTTGCTTATCCAGCCGTGTCAGTGGGTGATGTGAAGGTTCCATTGTCTCAACACTTGCTTTCAAACTTTATGGACTGAATAATTGGCAAATGAAAAACTCTAGTTTCTTATGAAACCTAAAGCTCTAAGGATGCATTGAATGGTCACACTTTTTCAATCGGTTTCTAAAACTGTCTAAGCTCTGAATTACGAAAGTTGCTGATATAGATGTTTAGTCAGGAACTTTTCCTATACATGTGTGAATTTTATTTTTATTTTTTCCCCTCTAGGTTACAACACTCGTCAATACTAGTAACAAGGGTCCTTCCAACAAAAAAAGGGGCCGTTCTAAAAAGGCACATGTTTTAGCTGCATCAGTTGAGCAAGCCACAGAGAACTTCTTGGAGAAAGGAGATAAAATTGCAAAAGAGAGCCAGTTTCTTAAAGAAGAGTTGGTGGCTGCTGTGGAAGATGTCCGCAAACAAGGTGTATATTATGATCTAATAGCGTATATTAAGTATGTTATGCTCTAATGTTATGTGTAGTATGATGTATGTATCTTATGGACTAATATTATGTATAATATGACCTAATTATGTATATCACGACCATAATATTATGACCTAAATGCTATGCTGGGGATTATTAGGAAGGGAATTGAAAACAAATCAACCAGTATCATAATGCCCCTGTATAAATCAATGGTGTTGCCTCATTTGTAATACTGTGTACAGTTCTGGTCACTGTCCCTCAAAGATAGTATAGCATTGGAAAAAGTGCAGAAAAGGGCAAATAAAATGATTAAGGGGATGAAACATCTTTCTCTATGAAGAAAGGTTAAAGAGCGCTTAGGGCTCTTTAGCTTGGAGAAACGACAACTGAGGGGTGTCATGATACAGGTTTACAAAATGATGCATGGGATAGAGAAGGTAGAGAAAGAAGTACTTCTTTCCCTTTCTCACAGAACTTGTGGGCATGCAATGAAATTAATGAGCAGTAGGTTTAGAACAGATAAAAGGAAGTACTTCTTCACCCAAAGAGTAATTAACATGTGCAATTCACTGCTGTAAGAAGTGGTGGCAGCCACAAGCATAGACAGCTTCAAGGGGGGATTAGATAAACATATGGAGCCAGAGGTCCAATAGTGGCTATTAGCTGCACGGTATAGATGGAACAGTCTGTCTGGGGTAGTGATGTTCTGTATTTTTGGTGCTTGGGGGGCAACAGTGGGAAGGCTTCTGGAGTTCTGGCCCCACTGGTGTACCTTCTGATGGCACCTGGGTTTTGGCCACTGTGTGACACAGAGTGGACCATTGGCCTGATCCAACATGGCTTCTCTTATGTTCTTATCACCTGTGGAAATCTGAGTCTGATTTAAAAACAAAAAACAAAAAAACACTGTTGCCTTTTTAAATGTACAGTTTTATCCTGCTTTCCTCCAAGGAGGTCAGAATGGTAAAGACGGCAATTTCTGCCACATACCCTCCCTCCAATCCTTTGTATCTTCACAACAATTTGGTGAGGTTAGGCTGAAATAAAAAACATAGGCCCAAGGTCACCCACTGAGTCTTATGCAATGTAATAATTGAACTCTACTCAAAATATTTATTTTAAAAATGTTAACAGTGACCTTTCAGAAGTCAGTTTATAAACATGAAAAATTGTAAAACATGAATTCACTGATTTCAGAAGTCTTTAATTAGATACTGGGCAAGTTTATAGTCCTTTGGCTCAGAACAGTTGCTTTAGAAGCTGGAGAAACCATCTTTAAAATGAGATGAGCTTCCTACCTGCCCAATTGTTTTCTGGGGCTCTGAGCCAGAAGAATACCATTTTTTTTAATCCTGCCTTTATTTATTTGCACTGTTGGGGAATGGTGTGGTGACAGTGAGAAGTAACCAAAAGTGAAGAGAAAGCTCATAGATTCCTCCTCCAGTCTTTATTCCTTCACTCTCTCTATGCATTCTGGGAAGTATAGTGCCCAAAGGACCTCATAGTTAATATGTGTTTTGGTCATAATTCCCAACACCCTCTCCCCCCGCCAGAGCACAGAATGAGATAGAAGAACTGCATTTTCCCTTTTCTGCCATAACCACATCATTTCTCAGCAGCACAGCAGGTGAATTGGGCTGGTGTGGAAGAAGGCAGGCAGAATTTGTGGGAGGGACCTAGAACCCCATAGTATTCCATACATACCATAGTCCATCCAGGGATGTTCTTTCTGTGAGCTTGGATTCCTATTTGGATAAAATCAACTTTTGGACTGCTTATCCACAAATAGCTCTACTTAGGCTGGAATCTGAGAGAAGCCTGCCCATCTCTTTATTTGGAAAAAATGTCTTTCATTCTAGAAAGTAGAAAGTCCAGTAGGTATCTTTTTCATATTTACATAGGATTGGACTAAATCTTACATGGTGTGCGTTTTCAGGCAATACAAATATTTACATAACGATCTCAGAGGAAATATTTATGACAGTTAAAGGACTCAATTTGGGTATGATACAATTGAATGTTATTACTACTAAGCTTGGTTATACCAGTGATTGTAATGGGAATTAGTTTAATAACTTGAATCCCTAAAGCAGAAGTGAACAGTTGTTATGAAATGGGAAGAATACTAAATATGACAGTCCTATCTAGTCCTGTGTTTTTAAAGGTCTCAGAGGCCTGATTCACACATGCAGGGAAATAAGGTGGTAATGAGGTGGCAGAGCCCTGAAGTGATAAAATGGAGTGGAATGTACTTGTTTAGTCTGAGGGAGGTGGATTTTAGCTTTGAGTATTCTTTCACGTAAAAGCCATTCAAATTCTGGTATCTGATGAAGGGATTATTGTCTCTTGAAACCTGGCGCGCTGGGAATATTGTTGATCTTTAAGGTGCTACTGGACTCGAATCTAGCTGTTCCATCCAAATGGAAAACTTGTAGGGTAGGGAGGGAGCTTCTGTCTCCTCTCTTAGGTTGCTCTTCTGATTTTTGAGGGGCTCATCCTAGTATAGGCCATTTGACCACCTAAAGACTCTGCCATTTCGTTTTCTTGAATGTGTGAACCAGGCGCCCTTAATTTTCTAATGTTAAGCAGTCTTTCCTAATGAAGATAGATCCAGGGGGCAGCCGTGTTCATGTGAAGCAGTAGAACAAAGTTTGCGTTGAGTGGCACCTTCGAAAGCAATGAAGTTTTGTGCAAGGTGTGAGCTTTCGTGTGCATGCACACTTCCTCAGATTAGTGAAAAGTATCTGAGGAGCACACAAAAGTGCATACCTTGAATAAAACTTTGTTGGTCTTAAAGGTGCCACTGGACTCAGACATCATTCTAATGTTTTCTAATGTTGGTTAATATTTACTACAAATGTACTGATCAAAGTTGATTTCATTATTGGTACTAGTATACTGCTAACAGAAACATAAACTTGATTTTTCTTTTCAAGTTCTCGTAATGAATGTGTCCAGTAACCACTTCTTTGCTAATTTGGTGTGTGCATAGGAGACTTAATGAAGAGTGCCTCAGGAGAATTTGCTGATGACCCATGTTCATCTGTGAAACGAGGGAACATGGTGAGAGCAGCCCGTGCCCTCTTGTCAGCAGTTACCCGGCTGCTTATTTTGGCTGACATGGCTGATGTGTACAAGCTACTCGTTCAGCTAAAAGTTGTAAGTAGAAGCTCCATTTTTAATTTCTCGTTTATGATGCTCTTTTGGGGTATATTATAGGAGGAATCCAGGATTTTGAAGTGGGCTGGGGCTGCTGCCTTCATTCCCTGCTTGTGGGCTTCCTAGAAGCATCAGCCTACTGTTGATATGGGATGCCTTGGTCTGATCGGACAGGACTGTTGCATTCCTTGGAGAGATGTCGCCGTCTTTAACGGCTGTCAGGCTTCACAAAAGAAAATCAAAGCGAGCTTTTGCTCCTCAGTCACATTTATTCTGTAATTTGAACTTGATGCATTAACCATCTTACTAAATAATGCGTCAAATTCTGTAGGAAACGGAGAAGATTTTTGTAGGCTTCCCTTTCCCATGGCAGACCCTCAAGAACCACAGACGTCCTGATATGTGACTTGGAGCCAGTTCCGGCTGATTCCCCTTTCTGGTTTGGTCCCCCATGCCACAGCCTAGATTGTCTTCTTGGTCCCACAAGTATTTTTCAGGAGTGTATGTAAGGAATGACAGTGGGCTTTTTATGAACTTCCTCCACTCTTTAGGTTGCAGCCCAGTGTCTCATTCTGTATGCCTTAAAAGGCTTGCTGAAATCTGTGCAGTTTGCAATCAGTACTTTCCACCAAACTAACATGCCTCTGGGGAGAGGGTGATAACAGTTCATTGTACTGCTTGAACACTTTCCCAGAATCTTTATTAAACTGTAATACCTCCCCATTTTGTACATAGTTTAAAATTTGTCTTAATTTTCTAGGTAGAAGAAGGCATCCTGAAACTCAGAAACGCTGGTACTGAACAGGATTTAGGAATACAGTACAAAGCCCTTAAACCAGAGGTGGATAAACTTAATATAATGGCAGGCAAGAGACAGCAGGTATAGTACAGATTTTGCATCTTTTTCAAATGTTTGGACAGAATCCGTGTTGGCCAATATTATAAAATGGAAGCTATTGATATATCTGGCAATTTAGCATCATGTGATAAAGGCCATCTAAAATGTGGTCTATATGGATAGCACAAGTTAACTATAGAAAACATATGGATAAGCTGCCCATTAGTGAATAATAAGTCTGGGAATTATGGAGAACAGAAAAAATTATGTGTGCAGTGTTAACAAATATAATGTAAATCTATATTGAAAATTAAAGCTTAACATTAAAGAAATTATAAAATTTAAACATTTTTGCACTTGATGATTAATGTGCTTTCAGTCCACCTTACAAGTAGTTTTTATTGTGTTAAACGGCAGAATCCACTTAGAAATTATTGCTAAAGTGGATTATTCAGCGTGTGTGCTTCTGTGAGAGGAATAATGCAACAAAGTATATAGGTTTGGGGGCAGCTTGCCAAGTAGTGGGTTGATTCCTTGTTACTGTTACCAGTGGAGTGATTTCTGAGGTTTTCAGTGGTTATATGGAACAGAAGGATTGAGAAATTGTTGCAATTAGTGGATGGCTTAACGGCTTTCACTAGCTTTTAGCTTAGAACAGGTGACTTGAAGGCCTGAGACATAAGCCCTGTACATATGACCCTTTCATGCATTGACTGAACATGTGGAGGGAGAAAGTGTGCACAGTGTGCTGGTCCTGCCTCCACATGATCTCCAGGTTATGAGCATTGCATCTGTGTGCAGAGGCAGTGTTCATGTGAACTCTCCTTCCCCCACGATTGGCAGCACTGGGAATACAGTGTCCCCATCACAGGGAAGACGCATTCGTGTGAACACTATCTGTGCACATAGACGCTATTCTCACAAGCCAGCAGAGGCCAGAGTGGGCCCAGCATGTTTCTGCCAGCTCTCCTTCTGCTCATTCAGTCAATACGAGGAGGGGTTTATGTGCAGAGCTATGGTGAACTGTAACTGGTTGAAGTTTGTGGTAGGGAGAATAAAAAGCTGCCCTCAGACTTACCGGAGTGATAATCATTACCTTGGATCCAGTAGTGTTGAAGCATAAACAGACATGGCGCAGTTCTGCTCGTGCAGGAGCAGTGTCTTCCTTCCAGGAATGCAAATGCGGATGCAGTAAGTTGGTTTAGCACAGGCAGGCACTGCAGTCCATCTTATATTTCCACTTGTGCAAGGGCTCTAATGCAAGCAGAAATTTTGTGCTGGGTAGTTTGCAACAAAAAGAGCTAAAAAGTCAGCTGAGGAAAAGCCGTCTGAAGGAAGAATTTGATCAGCACAGGAAAACAGTGGCTGGAGAAAGCAGAGCCTGAAATAAGCTGAGAAATATGCTCCATAGGGAATGATGGAACCTGAATGATTCCAGAATCCCTCCCCCAAAAAAACCTGAATTCCAAAATGGTATCAGGCGCCCCTGAGTACCAGTTTTTATGTCCTTCTCAAAATCCAAATCCAAAATTATTGATTTTCTTAAAGTGCACATCTCTAGAGCCAAATTCATGTTCTTCTCAACAGACGACTAAGCCTGTGCCACAACTGTGACTCCCTCCAGCATCAGTTTCCATAACTACTTCACTGAGTAGTCTAGTATGCTTGTTGCGGAGTCCTGTAGTATGTCAGTGTCAAGGACTAGGGAAAAATATAATCTGAAGGATATGTGAAAAAGTCATGGTATTGGAATTTAAGGCCATAAGAGGTGCATAAAGGAGCAGTTAGAGATATTGTTGCCTGATTGCCAGAAGCTCTTGGTGAAATTAATCAGGCTTCTGCTCATTTATTTTCTCTTTTGGTGTCCTGTGCTTTTGGTACTGAAAGCTGAGCATCCAGGACTCAACCTGGCTGCTTTCGGAGGCCATGTAGAACTTAGCACCTTCTGTTGAATACTAGACCTCTAAAAGTAGTGAAGTGCAGTGTTCAGCTGTGTGGGAGTCTGAACCTTTATTTCACTAGGCAAATCACTTTTGTTTGAATATATTCCCTGCAGGAATTAAAAGATATAGGTCATCGTGATCAGATGGCTGCAGCCAGAGGAATTCTCCAGAAAAACATTCCTATACTGTACACCGCTTCTCAAGCATGTCTGCAACATCCCGATGTAGCCGCTTACAAAGCCAACAGGGACTTGATCTATAAGCAATTGCAGCAGGCAGTTACAGGAATCTCTAATGCAGCCCAAGCAACAGCTTCTGAGGACTCGGTTCAGTCGCATGGTGGTAGGGGTTCAGCAGCACAGTGGTGGGGGAGAGTTGGCTTATGCACTTAACAACTTTGATGTAAGTACTGAATTTCACAAGGAAAATAAAATGTGCATAGTAAATATTTAAACCTTCTGAAGGGCAGCCGCCCTGACCTGGATAGTCCAGGCTAGGGTGGTCTTGGAAGCTAAGGAGGGTCGGCCGTGGCTAGTATTTGGACGGGGGATCTCCAAGGAATACCAGGGTTGTGATGTGGACGCAGGAATGTGAACTGCTTTTGACTGTCGCCTGCCTTGAAAACCCTATGGGGTCACTGTAAGTCAGCCACACCATAAGTTGACCACACAGAAGAAAGGGGGGGAGGGGCAGCTATAAATAGTATACCTAATGCAGGGTGGTTCAGACATCTGCAGATCACTTTGGAAATGTGTGAGCCAGCTCTTCATTTATGACGTCAAGATGTCTCTGGTTTTATTACAGGGCTTGCGTTTCCATTTTTAAAAGATATTTCTTGTAAGCACAAATTATTGAAATACAGATTAAAGCATCCCATCCTTAATTTTATAGATGGACAGAACTGCTCTTTTGCTAAAGGCAAGGCATGTCCCTTGTCTTGGGAGACGGCACTTGTTATATTCGTGGAAGTGTGTCAGATAGGGGGCCTGTACAAAGTATAGCACACAGTTTTTATTCTGAAAGGGCCTACAACCAAAGATTTCATGTACACCAGACAGTCTGCAAATAGCCTCTCTTGGCCCTCAATTCTGTGAGTGTGTTTTCCTCTCCTGTTGTTTTAACTCTGTGCTGCTTTCCCGTAGACCTCCGCTGCCTTCTAGAATTTCCTCAAAACTTCCAGATCTCTTTCAGTGCAGCTTCCAAAGTCCACTCTGTTTCCTGTTCTCAAGGTTTGCGATGGGTGCGCCTTTGTCAGATTGCATCATCAGATTCCCTGTCCATTTCCTGAGCCTGAAGAAAGCCGGTGTTCTTTCTGATACTAAGCCAGACTTCAGCACTTGGAAAACAATTAAAATTTCTTTCTGGCTTTTCCCCCCATACCTCATCCCCCCACCACAGAAGCTTAGGAGGGCAGAGGCTTGCATCCCTTCCCAGTGCAGTCATTCCTGCCAACAGCCCACAGTGGTGTGAGGTTTTCCTCCAGCATCACTCCCTGATAATTTCCTCCTCCCTCCTGTTTCTTGTGCTTTCAATCCTTCAGGCGTTTGCTGCCACCACCCATTCTTTCCAGAAATCAGTACTAGAATATTGCTGCCAGCCTACATGGTGCTTTAACAGAGTAACAGAAGGGAAGGAAAAGACAGGTTCCTACCTTGAGGCTGAACAAGTTCTTCTTTAATCTGCTGTTCAGTCCCATTACTTAACCCAGCCTTGGTCTCTTCACTTTCCATGCTGAATATTCTCTACTTACAGACTGCCTTCGTCTCTTTTTCCCCCTCCTCCTGCCACCCTTCCAACCCCCAAAATGTCAGGTAGGGGAACCAGGTGAATCTGCTAAACAAGGGAGTGTCATCTGAGTCATTTTGTAATCAACTATAATTTTTTTGAGTACATTAAGAACATGAAATGTAGTGTGCAACTCAAGCACAAATTGGTACTTCAGTAGATTTATGAAATGTGAAGGTATAAATGCTTTCATTTGTAGCTCCTTTTTAAGGTTTAGTAGCTCCCTCAGAATTGTAATAGTATTATTTCTTCTAAATTCTTGTTGTTTCCACTGGATCTGCCTTTTAAGTAATCTGTGATCTCTGTTAAACCACGTGTTTCAATTTGCCTCTGTGCTCTGATCCAGTAGAATATCTTTGACATATAGAGACTTGAATGATTCAAGAATCCTGGACAGGTTGGTCAGATTTATATTGGCTGAGTTGGATGAGGAAAAATAGCTAGCCAAGCTTTTAGAGGAAAGAGTTCATAATAGCACAAGCTGAGATGCTGGAGGTAGGTCTCCAGCACAGATGACAGCCTTTCATATTTTGAGAGCACGATAAACTTTGTGGTATGGCTAAATGCGGAGGGCCCAAACAGAAATAAATGGGCGGATGATCACCACCCTTATAATCGCTGACTTTCAATTGATTGAAATAGCAAACATATTTGACTGGAACAATAACATAGCCAATTACGCTTTCTCCCCTTGCCCCAACAAATGCCTTCATTTGAGTAGGAACAGTTCTGGATACAGCCAGCATTTGTCATGGAACTGCAGCTGGTGTGCTGTAGGATACCCAGATATATCACCTCATTCTTTGGAGGGATGGGCTTGGCTAGAAAAAAATACTTTGAAAATAGAGATCACCAGTGTTGTAGTAAATAAAATAGAAGGGTTTGTTTACCTGGGTTTAGAAACAGTATGCAGGCTTCAACATACGTCTGTTTCTACATGAGCATTTTAGAAGTAGCAATGAATTATGAAGTAGCAATGAATTTGGATGTTCAGTTAAATGCTAGCATCTTCAGTAGTACACCATAACTCTACAGTTACCTGGGAATAAATCCTGTTGAACTCTGGGGCTTACTTCTGGCTTATCATGTATAGAATTAGGCTACAGATACCACACTGGTAAAATTAGCTACCATAAATCCATATTCAGGTGGCAAATAATAAATCTTCAAATCGAAAGATCCACAGCTTTTGTTTATGAACTTCCATTCTGAGCTTCATGAGCTCTGTGGAAAGATTTTATGAACTTGGAACTCCATCTCGCACCTCCTGACTACTCTCCTGGAGAAATATCCATATTATAAATTTGAAGATTGGGCTTAAGAAAGTTGATTATTTAGTAATCCTGTTGAAGGCATCAGTGATGCTATGATTGCTAGCATATTGCGTTTGAATATTGGATCAAACATTTGCAGTGGTGTGGTATGGCTGTTAGTGCTTTAAACATTTCACTTTTGTCTGACTTAGAATATTTTACAAGATTTTTTTTCTCCCAAGTTTTTCAAGGGTTTATGGGATTTCAGAATGCTTCCTTAGAGCTCAGAGAGGCTGCCATGTAGCTGGAAATGTTACGCACACTCTTTGAGGGGGATGGGAGATGAATGAACTAAGCTCAACAAACCTTGTTGACAGCCCTGCTTGCTTCTTCTGGGGCAACTGCAGGGGGCTCTTGTCCCCATGTAAAGCATTTTCCCCAACCAATTTACTTTCCAATAGAGAAGCTACTTAATTTTCCTAGCATTCTGTTGGCAATTAGAATTATCGTGGATAATCTATGACATCATAACAAGTTTATCTCATTGCTAGAGCAGATTTGCTGTAGACAGGTAACTGCCTCTTGGCTTGTGCCCAAAGTAGTGAGAAGGAGAAGGCCATCAAATAGCTGAAATGCTGACATAAGATTATGAGTTCTGGCCCCAATTTCCCCCTCCTCTAATGAGATCTGTGTCATTTGTTCCTGTTTCCTGTAGTGCTCACTTCTGAAGCCTCTTTTTCCTCTTCCTTTCCTTCATACCTCCACCATTAAAATATCCTTGCATAAACTTATTTTTGAAAGGGTTAGGTTTTAGCTTGTTAAGAGAACTTCCTGGAAAACAGACTTATTATCCATTCTCTGAGGAGCTCAGGGCAACATGTGGCCCCTTCCTTCCATCTTATCCTGAGAACAGCACCATAGGTTAGGTTGACTGGTCCCAGACCAGCCAACAAACTCCATGGCAGAGCTCAGGTTTGAACATGGGTCCTCCCCATCTGTCATCCAGCATTCCAACCACACTGGCTGACCACTGTAAGTCTACTATAACTGTACTCATGTTGGCATGTCTGTTCCACAATCATTCCTGGTCTTGGTTTTTCTGTTTCGTATAGATGTCAGCCACTGTTCTGTATCCAGGGCTGTCAGTTTTTCCAAGCCTGGGTCAAGGAACTGGTATTGGTTCTGATCAGGCATATATGTAGGACTATCTTACAGTACATCATGAACCCTTCAAGTTCTACTGGAGAAGCCTTGACGTGGGTCATTTCCTCCTCCTGTAAGCTCTGGGCAGGGTTTCTCAGTGGCTCTGCATCTGTAGAGCAACCTCCCCAAGAAGACCAACTCTTCGCTTGATTTTACATGTGGCAATAAGGCCAGTATTCAGATTCCACCTTAGTACCCCATTTGCAATCATGTGAATGTGTCTGCCTGATGATTTACTATTATTACAACAGCACTGTGACTTTAGTGTAAATATCCTTGAGTATTTCATGTCAGAAAGAGTAATGAGTTTTATAAATAAACGAGATTAATACCCTGGGCTTGTTTCCCCTGAGACTTTGCACTTCAGAAGAACTCTCAAAATGCTTCCTTCCCTCCATGCATGCGTGTAAGCTGTGCTGGCTGCTAGGCATTTTGAATTGGCAGCACTAAAATGCTTGTTGGTTAACGCTTTGGAATGGAAATAGGCAAATAGCTTTGAGAAAAATTATATAATTGGCTGGTGATGCTGCAAAGGCTACTGACTTGGGCTGCTTCGGAGAGGCTGTTGGGTTGATTGGAGGGGCACGGATGTCTAGGGAGTGCTTTTGTAGGTAAAAAGGTCACCGGGGGTTTATCTTCCCCTTTCATATTTCCAATGAGGTCTCTCCTGTGTGAATTGGCAAACTAGCTGAGGAGGGGACAGCAGAAATTTGTTGGCTTGAATGAAGGTGTGTAAACTGTTGAAACAGTTGCAAAGGCTTTACTGGACAATGTTTGTAATGGACTGTGACTGTTAGTGTGAATGTAATACATACATATGCGTGTGAGGCTATGTGGTACCAGCTACCTTCTGGAAACTTATTGTTCAGCAGCCTCTCTAAAAGGAAGTCAGGTACAGCCACATTTTTAAATAAACCTGTACAATTAACAAGAAACATTCCTGCATTAACAAACCATAGCTCTCATGGCTGGAACCAGTCTTTTCAAGGAGCCAGATTAAATTTTTAAAAAGAAGGGGAATCACTGACACAGCTTTAATTTGATATGAACTGTGCTGATGCATACTCATTCAAAACTCTGATATGCCTGAAATAACTGAGTTTGTGATATAACGTTCTGAATATGGGGTTCTAGAACCCTCTAGATTTGGAATCTCTTCTTTGACTAAAATGCAAAACGTCTAAATAACTAAAATGCAAACATCTGTCTACTCAGATTCTGTTATTGTGATGAACCTTCTCTGGATTAATTAAATGCAACTGAATAATTTTGAGTACAGTTTGATGTAAATATTGCCAGTGTTGTGTTTGTCAAAGCATGGCTGTTTGAACTGTTAACGTTTCCTGGCAATTCTAAGATAACGTTCATTACACTGGTCCAGAGTAACGAGTCACTTATTGAGAGTTGAAAATGCTTTCTTTTTACCAGAAACAAATTATTGTGGATCCTTTGAACTTCAGTGAGGAGCGTTTTAGGCCTTCCCTGGAAGAGCGCCTGGAGAGCATCATTAGCGGTGCAGCCCTGATGGCTGATTCATCTTGCACACGTGATGACCGACGGGAGCGCATAGTTGCAGAGTGTAATGCTGTGCGACAAGCCTTGCAAGATCTCCTTTCAGAATACATGGGAAATGTGAGTAACCAAAGTGTGTGTGCGTGTTTTTTAAGTTAAGTTTTAATGTGCGCGTCTGTGGGGTTTCAAGAGAAGCAGTTAAATGGTATGGCTTGAGTTTAAATACAGAATCCCTACAAATACAATTGAAACAAGTGGAACATCATGATAATTGTGGGGGAGGGATCCCTGCCCCCTCTTAGCAGTAGCTCCCCCCCACACCATTACTGGTAACCACGGCAGGTGTCCCCATCACCTCCACTGCCTGTATCTCCAGCTCCTCCCCCATCCCTTACAGTGCCACCTGGCATGCCTCATCTCTGGACCCACCCACCCCCGGCTTCATTCCTGGCAAGCACAGTGTGGCTCCCAGCCTTTGGGGGGGGTGATTTTAAACCCCCCATTGTATTTTTTTTTAAAGTTTTTAGATTTTTCTGTCAACCTGGGGAGTCCCCCAGGTTTGCAGAACTATCTGTTTTGGCGAAGGGTGGCCCTGATTCACAGATTTAGATACCTGCAGATGGGGACCATACTTAAGAAATAGATATATAGCTAGTGAATTAATCCAGCAGCATCTTGTGCTTCCTTTTGGCTGTGTTAATTAAAAACACACACCCTAATATCTAACTTACTGTAGACCACTTGACTTAAGGGTGTGGGTGTGTCAATGGGTAGAATGGATTTTTATACTAAAAATGTATCTGGGTGACTTTATTTTGTTGCCTCAGTTGCCCTTAAATTTAGAAGAGTTCTATCCAGATCTTCTTCACTGCAGCCTGGGGTCATGAGTGCTGTTCTCGTTTAAGTTTAGTTATAGCATTTCCCTTCTCATCAGTCTTTCATTTTCTTCTCAGCAAAGCCTGCTGCTTTAAGGTTCATTTGGCTTGCTTTCCAAACCTTTACCGTCAATCTAAACTTTGAAGCCCATGTTTTATATTAGATGTGGCCAAACTTGATAACAGTAGTTGGGATAGAGAGAAACAGAGAAAAGAAATCAATGTGTGAACAATCCTTGTCATGCAAGAGTTTTTATTATGCAACCTAAATTGACTTATTTTCTCTTGAAAAATTGCATTTAGTTTCATAACTGCCTGTCAGCTAATGTCTACTGTAGAAACTCTGCTCTCTGTACCACCATCTTCAGAGGTAAAGTGGGTGGCAGCCAGCAGGAGTGCCTTCTGTGTGATGGCACCTGACTTCAGCTCCTTCCCTACATCAGTTTGATTGGTGCCAAGCTTAAGCTTACCCTAGATGAACTCTCCCCACCATTTTCTCTTGAGTTGTCCCCACCCAGCACCACTATTAATTACTAGCTGCTGTTTTGTTCCTTGCCTTGTTTTACTGTATATTCTCTCATCTGCTTTGTTGATTTCAAATACTGTTTTATTATGTTTATTTTATTTATTTATTGTTTGATTTATATCCTGCCTTCCCTGCCAGGCAGGCTCAGGGCGGCTTACAAAATATATATAAATAATAATACCTTCTGATTTATTGATCGCTCAATCCGGCAGAGCTGCTGTTAAACAGTGTGCTGCCTGTTACTCAATTATACTAATTGTTTTCCATTTTATTGATATGTTTCATAAGCTTTCTTGGGAATTTTTCAGAGTTGTACAGATTTTATTTATTTATTTAACCTTCGACTTCTATCCCGCTCACCCCCTAGGGTATGTATGTATGTATATTAAATAAAGTAATTGCTAGGTTCTTCTCAGCAGTGTTAATATTTTGTGGCATTTTTCACCGTATATTTTTGCGATAGTTCCATCAAAGTTTATGGAAGTGCTGTTGTTGGGTCGAACAACTGCAGCCTCGACAATGGAAAGTTTAAATCATGTGTAAAGATGCCTTCCACATTTTCTCGTTGTGTAACTGCTGTTCTGTATGACGTAGGGGATTGGAAATTGCTCTTAAGTGCAATGAGAGTCTAGTAGTGGAATGTCAACAGTATATATAGTACCGTGACCGTCTTGTAATATGAAGAAGCTATCTCGTGTCTCTGAAAGACAAGAAAACATTCTGCCTGAAAACCAGTTGAATTAAGCAGCTACGTGTCAGCATTCTTGGGAGACTAGAATAGCTGAAATATTTTATGGGAAGTTTGTCCTTTTTTCAAAAATAAAGTGTCCTGATGAACAATAAGCATCCAATATAAAAACCCACAAGTGGGTGGGAAGACCATGTTTGAAATAAAATCTGAGTGCTTTTAGCTTCAAAAAGGTGTCTAACAGGGAGGGGAGAACTAATGTCTGCAAGACCAGTGGTCCTTGTGGATTGGGACCGAACTGTAGGCACACAACAGGAAGAGTGGGAGCCAGATTCATGACATGACTAGTGTCAAGGCTATAACCATGGGCAACAGATCAAGAGAGCAGGGAGCTAAAGCCATGCTCCACGAGATGTGCCATACTGAGGAATAAATCAGGAGACAGAGCCTTGGAAGAATTCCCTGCAACCACTGAGTGACGTTGCCTCACCATCATGATATTTCAGCATGCAAAGAGGCAAGAGAGGCATGGCTTGTCCTCCATGCACACACTAACAGCAAGCCCTTCTAAAAGGTAGCAAAACAAAGTGGTATTTTAGGGGTCATGCAATCCAGAGAATTGGACTCCATGATCCACCAAAGGGTCCCAGCCCAAACTTTTCAAACTTTTCTTGCTTCTCTACTATTGTTTTAAGAGAAAGGAGAGGGGAACTTAAAATATTTCATAAACGAATGTATTAGAAGAAATGGCTACTGTTATGACAAACTGGGTCTTATGACCAGGGGAAGGGGGGGGGAGATTTCTCCCTGTTCCTGAAGAGGGTAAGAAAGTGCAGGAAGCCTAAGGGAGTGCAGAACAATGGGCGTAAGTGTGGATGATGACTGTGCCACTGCTGTGGTTGACTTTGTTGCTGTTTACAGTATGGGAAGGAAGAGTTGCTAAATGGTTGATCAGATGGTGATGCAGCCCCCAAGAGAGCAGTTGGCTCCAAAAGATTGTGTTGCTTTTTGCACCTGGCGATCTGCAGTTGGTCTGTGCCATGTTTATTTCCTCCCAAAGAAAGTGTTGGTAGTAAAGTGGCTGTCTGGAGCATTTGTCTAGGAACGTTCTGCACTAGGAACTCAAGCAGCAGTTCAGCATCTTCCTTTTCATCGTGCGGGAATTAAGTAAGGGATGCTATCCATGATGTGTGGGAAAAGGCATCAGAAGTCGTAAGAATAAAACAGTTGCCCATTGTGAGAGGTAGTTCATGGCTGTGTTGGAATGGTCAGTGGCAGGAGATCAAAGGAAGAAGGGAAAAGACTACAAGTTATAAATGCGTGAGGGAAATGGAGGAAGAGGGTGGAAACATGAAGATGATGAGTATGAGGATCACCAAATCAGTATAAGTACTGTGCCTCTGGGATATACCAACAGTAAAAAGCCTTGTACTTGCACTCCCACAGTCCTGTAAGGCAGCAGAAAAGAGCAGTAGTCCAGTAGTACCTTCTTCAGGGTGTGAGCTTTTGTACTCTCTTTTTTTTTTTTTTGGATATTCTTTTTTTCACAAAAGCTCCTACCCTGGACTCTTGCTCTTTTTCTACCACTACAGGCAAACACAGTGACTCTTGCTCTTTTTCTACCACTACAGACAAACACAGCCACCTGTCTTGATCTATCTCTTGTAAGGCAGGTACATATTATTCTTAAGGTAGGGAAACTGAGATTTAGAGTTGTGCTGTGCCCCATAGTATCTTCAAGGTAAAGTTCAACTGAACCTACGTATCCCAAATGCAGCATTCTTATGTCTATAGCTCCTTAATGCTAGCAGGTATGGAAGAGCACAGAAGCAAGGTTGGCATGTAAGCCATCACTAAGTTTTAATGAAAAGAAAAGGTGAAGCTAATGGTATTCCAACCCTGAATATGAAGGCTGGCAAGAAGTTTTGTATTCCTGCTCTTAGCCTCAGGAGCTTGATAATCAACCCAGTTACTCCATTTGATCAGCATGTTGGATATTTGCATGCAGTAGAGATTTTAGTTTAAAGGTCAGAAATGCAGGTTAACATGTCTCACTTCCACATATTTATAAATTGTTTAATGTAATGAAGATCCAGGGGAGGGGTAGACGTTGCGTTAACATTCCTTTTCTACTGGATCCATAGCATAAATTGTACTTCGTCCTTTTTCAGCAGTTTTTACCACTGAGAGTTTACTTGAATCACATCATGAGAGCAGGGGCACCATATAGTCTCACGCTTTTAAGAACTGATGGCATACTTTTAAAACCAGAGTCCTAAATCACGGCTTCCTCCATGAGGAATTAAACTTTGCCTTATTGGAGGTATGAGAAAGAATGCACAGTTTGAAAACATCAGAAATGTCGATATAACTCATTAACACATTCTAGACTTTTCCGTTGAGCCACTCTTCATGTTGCCCTGAGACAGTGTGTAAATTTACAGTGTGACATTTAAAAAATGTGTTCCAATATACCTGTATCTTGTGCTAAAATAAAATGAGTATAACCACATCTGTAGGAAAATCAGCTGAATATAATAATCCAGTGGTTTTTGAGCAGCTGGGCACCTGACAATGCATGTCATAACCCCCACCTTTTGCCACTGCTGCCTACATGCATATTCCCTCTGCTTTACAGTCCTTTCATCGTTGCCTGACTCATAGCCTTGCCAGATTAAAAGCTTACCTGCCAGCTTATATCTGTGTCACGGAACAGCTTGAGGAGGATGTTTGGAAGGCTTACTTGCCCAGAAGGAATTGTTGCTCATGATTGGCTCGTAGCAAATTGTAATGCTGCATGAATGTAAGAGGTAAAAAGTCTTCCCTTAAAAAGAAAATGGAAGTCTTCCTCAAATGAAAAAGGAGCACTCATTCCTTGGCAGTTAATGCAGTTAGAGAACCAACTTAAGGAGAAAATTGCTGAGATAGAAATAAATAATAAGCAGAAGGGCAAGGAGGCCTGTTAGATAACCCTTGTTGAAGAGATACTGAAAGAAAACAGTTGAAATAGCACTTGTTGGTTGGGGATGCT